GCTTACGGCCATTACCGATCAACTGTACAGTTGATCATATATAAACCCAACCAACCCTGACTTCTCCCCTTAACCCTCTTCTGCATCATTCCCCCACTTTAACTTTGTTCCATTCTCCCTCATCTTCTTTGCCTGCTCAATGTGTCCTGGTCAGTCCACCGACTCACTCCGCCCTCTGACCGAAGTCCATTCACTCATGAACACCCCAGACTGCCTCCAACCAAGCTCCTCCAGCTCCAGGCCCAGCGCCAGACCAGCCTCAGGTAGTTCATCAATATTTCTTGTTGCATTCTCAACTAATGCATACTCCTACTCCAGACAATGTTCTGGCCAACACACCAAGCATTGTTATGGGACAGAGATGGCTTGGTAACGGCAAGTAACTCTCGCTGATATGTATATGCATGAAACTAAGAAAGACCCCAGATGATAGCATATTTACCGACACTGACAGCCAGCCTGTCAGCCCCAGCCAAATGGTTATTGAATGTAAGCCTGTCTTTCCTCTTTCCTCCCTTGTCTCCCTTCAGAAGCTGACCATCTCTTAGTGACTGACTCCCCTGTTTCCTCTGCGCAAGAATTCCCCCCTGCTACCCCGCCACCGCCTCCCGTTGATGGCACTGGCACCAATGATGAAATTTTGGTCATTGCCTGTGGGAACTGCACAGCCCGCAACGTGGTGGAGACGGTGAAGGACTATTACTATGTGGTCTTCAAAGGCAGGGGTGCAGTTGGTGTTTTTTGGAGCCTGGTAAGTCTGTCATTGAGCCATGTCATGCCAATCTGATGTTGTGCTCAGGAGGCTGCAGACCTTGTCTGTGTGAGCGTTCCCAATGCGTTCCGGAGAAAATATACCACCCAAAGTGCTGCTTTTGAGGTGTTAGCCCATGCAGAGTGCACCAACACCATTGCGTGGCTGTAGGGTGACTATTTTCATCATGCTGATCACTGCAGCCTTCAACCCTTTGCATGCTTACTGCATATGTTATACCCTATTTAAGTGCTCTCCCCTCCCTTGCATTCCTCTCTTTGCATACCACACTTCTTGGACTCCATTCACACCTGTCTCTTGCATTTCTTGAACTCTGTCTGCAATGTCTCTATATCTTGTACTCCGCTTGCATCTACTTCGCTTGCATCTTCTCCATGTTGCTTAGAACTCATATCTCATCGATTCCATGTCTTGTAGCCTGCCGTTCTGCCCTTTTTTGGACTAGAGTCACCACATTTTGAAACCGCCACTCCCCATTCTGGGTAGCTTCACTTGTGTTGTATTTTTTATTGCCCCTGCCCCTTCTTGTTGTGTATATTAGATGCTCTTAATTCAATTGACTTCATTGTTGCGTGTATGAACCACGTGTGACTGTATGTGATGAGGAGGTCTTTATTGTCCTCCACTGATTCCTGCCAGAATCCGGCGGAATCTGGGGAATTCCTGGAATTCCGGAGGAATCAAATTTGGCAGAGGGCCCTGCCAAATTGATCAAACAATTCCGCGGAATTTTGAATGGAATTCAAATTCTGCCGGAATGATTCTGGTGATCACCCGGAAGGAATAGCCATGGAACAAGACGGAACAGAATTTCTGATGCCCAAATCAAGCATTGGCAAACACCGACACTTGATTTGGGCATCAGAAACAAACAACCCACTCTCTCATCTCAACCACCACCATCGTCGACGACGCCCACCCATTGCCACGTCACCACCATCACCCGTGGTCACCACCACCCACAACGCTCGTCAACCAGCAACCACGACCACCAAACGACGAACGACGACGACGTCGTCATTCGTCGTCATTCAGAGGTGAGTCCCCCCCCTCCTCCATCCCAACCCACCCCGCTAACACACCAAAATGCGACCCAACGACAACCCAACAACGACGCGACACAACAACGACGCGACCACGCAACACGACAACAAGAACACAACACGACCGGCAACGCGACATGACGGCGACGCAACACGACAACGACAACACAACACGACGGCGACGCGACAACGACAATGCGACAACGACAATGCGACGCGACAATGACAACGCAACGCAACGACAACCATGCCCACAATGAGGGACGGACAGCACGTCAGCGCCCCACCACGTCATGTGCTGAGGCGGGTGTGGGCCGTTGACGATGGTGTTGTGGTTGTTGTTGTTGGTTGCGTCATCATGGTCATCCGTCGTGGCCGTCGACTGTCGTCGTCATGGGTGGTCCTCTCTACGCTTGCTCACCTGGTGGGGCTCGTGACATGGCGCTGCCATGTTGTTGCCATCGTTGTTGGTGCGCGCGGCGTTGGCGGTTGACGACGATTGGGGTCGGTTGACGACGAGAGTGGGTGACGGGGCTGTAGGCGATGTGGTGGGGAAGGGGAAGGTCGTCGTGGAGGATGGTGGTAGTCAAGGAAGAAGAGGGTTGAGGGCTTTTGATTCCTGTTTGGTTGTGTGATATCTGTGGAGCCTCTGGTTCAATCCTTGCTCATGTTATTCTTTTTGTATATTATAATAACAGCTCCAAACACTGCAATCCTTCGGAATTCCAACAGAATCTGTTGTATTCCAATTCCAATGGATTCCAATGGAAACTGTTCCGGGAGCCTCCCGGATTCCAACCATTTCCACCAGATTCCGTTGGATTCTGTTGGAATTTCCATGGAATTGGAAACCAAAATGGCTGAGGCTCCAGCCAATTGGTTTCCATTGGAATTCCATGGAATTCTGACATTCCTCCTGGAATCTGCCAGATTCCGCTGGAACTCATGGGGGATGGTAAAGACCTCGCTTGATGACGAGCATGCCAGAGTCATTTGATATGGACACAGGCGAGGGATTGTCTGGGCAGTTTGACAATGTGCCTGCCTCTGATGGTGGGTACGAAACCATCGGACCGCTTCCTGATGCTGAGGATTCGCTAGTGCTGTGCTGTCGAGCGTTGATGAGGAGCTCGAAAATAGACTGCCTCAGGACGGTTGTGGTTCTCCATATGTCAATCCGGTTGATGCACCCCTGGCTCCTCCCTTGCCAGACAATCCTTTCCCTCCGCTCAACCCTTATCCACAGTTCATTTTCCCTGATCCAATGCTTACAAATGTCTCTGTTCAAACAATGCTCCAAAAGAGGTGCTCCCTAGGGTGCATGATTTCGCACCGCCTTGGTTGGTTTTGGATGATCTTCCCATTTATGGACCTTCCTCCACTTTGCCAAAGGACACGGTGAAGGAGGCTTATTTCAAAGCACTTGGCTTTGGACCCCCAGGAGCATTGTCTGTTGATCACACACCTTCCTCCACTTTGCCAAGCAACATGGCGAAGGAGGCGTACCTCCAGGTGCTTGGATTTGGACCCCCTGGAGCCTTGTCTGTTGATTGTGCTCCATCTTTGACTGAATGCCCTGCTCACAATTTGGCCCACCAGGGGCATTACCTGGTGGGTTCGAAGTCCAGGCACACTTCAGTCTAGTGCTTGGAAGTCCGGTCCAGTCCGGTCTTTTGACTTTTTTTGGCAAGACTGAGACCGAGACCGGTCCTTATATTTTGAAAAGCCTTAAAAAACCGGACCGAACCGATGGGAACCAGTTCAGGGCGGTCTTGAGCAGTTTTTTACAGTTGCAAGACCGGTCTTAACCAGTTTCGGTCTGAACTGGTTGACAACCGGTCTTGGACCAGTCTCGTAGTTACAGACATTGACTAAATACACTACCACCCATCAACCACATCAGCTTCCATGTCTTTATCCCATTCCAGACCATCAGTATCGTCGAGGAGAAGCTCTTCAAAGTCAAACAAATCCACGTCCTCAACCTGTGACTCATTCCAAGCAGCCATGTCGTAGAGATCAGGCCCCCACGCGGATTTCGTAATGACAATTTCCTCGAAAACGACGGGACCCAACAACGCACAGCGGTCTGTGGCAATCTGTTTGGTGCCGGAGAATAGCCGCTCGCATGGCACCGAAGACGCCTGGGCGGGAAGGACATCGAGTGCGATACATGCAAGCGTAGGGAATAACTGTGCATTATCCTAAGGCATGTCAGTATGTGGACACACAACGATAGCAGCTTGGGAAAGAACTTACCTGCCACCATTTAACAAGATCAGTCTCCTTTGTCACGTCCCTTTGCATGGTACACAGATAGCGGCGCAGTTCAGATGCCCAACCTTCCATCGCATCATCTGTAAGCAACGTTTTGCGAAGCTTGTCGTATTCCGACAGAATGCGACCCATTGGATCTCCAGGGTTTGCTTGCTGAGGGGTAGCGGCTGGACGTTGGCTGTAGTACTGAGCCATCTAGTTTAGATATTAATGGTGTATTTCATCTGTATGGAATGGAACAACTTACTGTTCTCTCAACAATCTTTTTTGCCTCATCGTGCCAGTCCTTTGCGAAAGGATTCCCTTGCGTGATTTCTTCAGCTTGTTCTTTGGGACCACCCCATGCGAGTTTGATGTAAGCGAGCTTGTAGTACGGGTGGAGAACTTGCGAAAGTTCTACCATTAGTAATGTATCTTAGGAAGGAGAAGTGCCTTACCAAGCGCTAGAACAAAACTGGGCTTCTCGTCCAGCCACGTGTAATATTTCCCAATCTTCGCCAGACCATTGGTGAGGGCGTCCTTGTACAGGGTGTATCTTGGTGAATCGCACTTCTCCTACCATGCGGTTTGTAACTCCTCGAGAGCGGGAAGTGCGCGCCACAGTGTTGGCTGTTTTTCAGAGGAAAAGTACTGCTGGATGCGGTTGGAATCCTAATGGGAAAGTGTTCGACACGATAACGTCAAGGGACCCACCTAGAACACAGTTGTCAGGTCGGGTGGGATCATATTCCCAGATCGCGGTCGCATTTTCGACAGCGGCAATCTTTGTTATGTTTTGCATAACATCGACGTTTCTGAGGTTGACGACATGCCCGAGACACCTGAGCTTCAAGGTAAGGAAAGTACAAGAAAAAAGAATGGAGCATACAGTAACTGCTGCTCAGCACTGTTCCACACGAGGCCACGGCGAGCATGGATGTCCTGGATTGTTTTGCACATCGTATTGTTGTTGCCGGTGTTATCTAACGTTGCCACGTACAGCTGTCGTCGCCACATGATGATCAGAATCAATGATATGTCAAATGACAACGCGACTGACATACCTTTGAACTCTTTTTGTCCATAATTCCAACACGCTCAAGTATCCCCACTGTGTACCTCCTGAGGTTATCCCCACTGTGCGCGCCTGATAGGGCCTTAAACCCAATCACGGCAGCTCGCATCTTCCATTTCCCATCCTTCACCTCTATCCAGTGTGCCGTCACCCCCAGAAACGACATTTTTGTGATGTCTGCAGACCATACGTCCTGTGTTACTGAGACCTTTCCAGGAGCCGCCTATTCGGATACGCATAAGTACGTCCTAACGATAGCAAAGTGAAATGGCTTACCATAATCTCTTCTTTCAAGCCCTTCATCTGTTTCACGAACATATTGTGGATATACACCTTGGCATCATAGGAACTCGGGAGGTCCGATGTGGTGGATTTGGGCCGCATGGTGACGAGCGCATTTCGAAATGCGAGGTTATCGGCAAGGGCAAGAGGCTGCAGGTGCGTTGTGAGTCAGCTTTGTAACCTGGCGGTATACAATCAAAACTTACTTGGTTGTTCATCGCAATAAGGGCTGCAACTGCATGAAGAACACCAGATCTCGTGAACTCTTTGGGGCCGGTCACGCTTTTGAAGTCCAGCATCTGCTGTGTTTTCTTCTTCGTCTGCCGCCCCCGCTCCTCCAAAGCCTTATTCTCTTCCATGACCTTCCAGATCTCCCGCGGAATCGCCCAGTGACTGACTGGTATGTCCGCTTTTTCACACTTCTCCTTGTATATCTCATAATGTTGACGGATATGCATACAACACGAGGAATTGGACCCTTTATGGAATGCCTT